GGCTAACTGCTCAGAGTGCTGGGTCAGCGCTAGCTGCAGAGTAGCTGGTCTCTGCCAGACGGGCACCGGGAGTGTGAGGATTTTGGCAGAGGCCTGGTCTGCTGGCTGGAGGAGCTGTTCTCTGTGTTCTCACCACATTCAAGTTGTCTGGGCCAGGGCCCTACAGCATTTTGGCAGGGGATTCAGACTGCGGTTATTAAATTCCTCATATTCTGATCTGCCCTCAAGGAACCGGTAGACCAAGCGGAGGCAATTACTGGAGGCCTTTGCAAGAGGGAAGTCATTCCAGCTCCATGTGAAACAGGATGGGGTGGCTAACATCCCCTGATGGGGAGTCAGGATCTGAGAGCTGCAACAATGGTCTTGTTTAGCTTCTCCTGAGGCAGGCCTCAAAGCATTTCCCCAGAAGCCCAATGTCAGGAGACATTAATAGGTGTTCAATGTGGAAACATTAGTGATCACAGAAGCTTGAGAAACTGGGCTCATGCAGACCTTCTCAGGGCCTTTATCATGCACTGGGACATGAGCAGGGTGAGAATGAGACACACAGAATTCCTTAACAGTCCAAGCATTTTTTCTAGATAAACTCTTAAAGAATTTTTTTCCCTTTAAAAATATTGTCAATAGATACCATTTATGGATTTACTTCACATCAGGCACTGTGCATGGATGACACACGAACAATCTCATTAATTCTCAGAAAAACCTATGAGGTGGATACTGGTATTGTGGCTATGTTATAGCTAAGAGGACAGGCTCAGAGAGGAACATGCCAAGATCATGAGACTGTACGTGGTAAAGCCGTAATCCAAACCCTTCTGTCTGATTCCAGAATCCACCATACGATTAGGCCCCAAGAGGAGAAAGATTGCCACATCCCACACAGCTGGCAGGAGGCCAGGCTGGATCAGGATCCAGGTTTTTTGATTCTTGTTCCAATCGGGTTTTCCTACTTTGCCCCTTCTAGATTTGAACGTATGTCAGATGGTGAGTGATGTCCATCTCCCTATCCAGCACTTCCCTCCACGCACCCAGAGGGGCAGTGGCTAAGAGACCAGCTGGAGATGACACAGGAATCCGGGGCCTGGTTCTTGCCTCATTGCCAGCATGCTGCATGGCCCCCTCATTTACCTTTATGAGTCTGACTCATGACACAGGGACACAGCCCTGAACTGGATCCGTCCATTGTGGGCCATGCTGTCCACCACAGGCCCTGCTCACGAATGCTGCCCTCCGCCCTGTGGGCTCCCCAGCAAGTTCCTTTCGCTGGGGCTGTGTTCCTACTGATATAATCAGCTCTCATCTATCTACTTACTAGATATGTATGGAATGCCTCCTATGGGCCCTGTCAGGGGCTGTTTAAGGATAGGAGAGACTATTTACATCTATACACACACCTGTGCAGGTATTTATATAGGTATGTTATACAGAAAACGACTTTCTGCTAGTGACAGTGCTAAAGAGTGCTAATGTTAAAGAGAGAGTGATGGTGAGGAGGCATTTCTTTAAATGAGGGGGCCAGGGAAGGGCTCTCAGGTGTGTGAGTGGAGACGGAGATGAAGCAAGAAATTATGTGCTCCAGACAGAGGGAGCAGCAAGCACGAGGGTCCCAAGATGGAAATGTCCTGTGTGTGCTTCAAGGTCAGCAACAGGGGTGCCTGGGTGGCTCAGTCGGTTGAGCATCTGACTCTTGGTTTTGGCTCAAGTCATGATCTTGGGGTATGGGATCAAGCCCTACATTGGGCTCCACACTGGGTGGGGAGTCTGCTTAAGATTCTCTTTCCCTCTCCCTCTGCCCCTCTTTGCTCTCTCTCTCACAACAAACAATAAGGAAGGAAGGAAGGAAGGAAGGAAGGAAGGAAGGAAGGAAGGAAGGAAGGAAGGAAGGAAGGAACAGCAATAAGGCCCAACAGGCCAGAGGGTAGAGCCTGGAGGTGCTGGGTAGCAAGCAGGCCTGAGCATTAAGCGTGGGGAGAGGCGGCAGGTGGAGAAGTGCCTTCTACAGGCCAAGGAGAGGGTCTGGGTAATATTCTCTGTGCAATGAAGATCTACTGAGGCTCTTGCACCTTGGCCTGCTCTGCTGTGTGTGGGCTGGATGGAGAGCTGGGTCTCAAATGCCATCAACCCTCGTTTAGCTCCTCAGGGTGGGATATGGTGAGGCAAACACCTCCCAGGAGCTAGGGAGGTGCTGCAACGCTTCAAGTGGAGAGGCCAGCGCAGGGCGAGGGACGGTGCTGCGTCCGCTGCGGGCTGTCTGTCTGGGTGCTGCTGGCTCAGGGGCCGCAGTGGGGTGGGAGAGGGCTGGGTCCACACAGGGAGCTCGGACAGATGAGTGTGGCCTCAGGCCTCCCACCTCCAGCAGGTCTCCGGGTCTTTGCTCCAGAGCCCCTGGAGCTTCCCTCCTGCTTGGCCCGGCCCACCATGATGCCCTGCCTGTCCTGAGGCTCCTTCCTCTGGACCCAGGGCTCCTTGTTAGCAGGGCCTGGGAGGCTTCGGGAGCAGGTTTAGTAGAGGTCAGTGAGGGCCCAGATGCCTGCCTGCTCCTTCCATGGGAGCGAGCCTGGCCAGCTTCAGACACCTAGAGCCCTCCCTCCCAGGGCCTGGGTGACACAGACCTCTCTGTTCGGCGTGTGTGGTCCTCAACAGACCCTGCGTTACAGTGACCTGTTCCTCATCACCCATACTGAACCCAACATGTTGGGAGCCCTAAGAGCCTCATTTCGGAGGCCTGCCCTACTTAGCCCCCGTGCCTAGGACACAGGGACAAGGAAATGCTCTGAGCAGTGCCCACCATGTAGTTTGCATGACAAACCTTTAGTCTCGCCAGCCACCCTTCCATGAAGTGGGTATTTACTACTTTCTGGATGAGAAAATGAAGTCAGAAAGGTGATCTGTCTCAAGGTCAAGGGAGCCAGTACATAGCAGAGTCAGTCTGCTAGGTACCTAATACTTGCTGGATCAGTGACTGCATCTGACTCTAAAGTCCCTATTTGCGATTCTCCCCTCATCTGCCATTAATAAGTAGTACAATGATTGACATCTCTAACACCCACCAGGATGACTGCAATAAAAAAGACAGTAGCAAGTGTTGGTGAGGATGTGAAAAAAGGAGAACCTTTGCACCTCATTGGTGGGAACGTGAAATTGTGCAGCATCTTTGGAGAGCAATCTGGCGGTTCCTCAACCACTGTGGTTACCATATGACCAGCAATTCTGCGACGTATGTTAGGTGTCCAAGGCAATCAGAAACACAGGTCTGTGCAGAAACTTGTGCACAAAGGTTCACAGCAGCATTATTTCTAAGAGCCCCCAAACAGGAATAATCCAATGTCCACCAACGATGCATGGAGACAGGGAACACGGTGTTTCCACACGATGGAGTACGATTCAACAATAAACAGGGACAAAGCACTGACACACGGGAGGACATGGATGGGCCTGGAGACTACTGTGAAGTGAGAGGAGCCAGACACCAAAGGCCACTTAGTGTGTGATTCCATTTACATGGAATGTCCAGAATAGGCAAATCCATTTACAAAAGATAGATTAGCGGTTGCCTCGGGCTGGGAGTGAGCATTTGGGAGGGGATGAGAAGCGATTGCTAACGGGTGTGATTTCTTTTCTGAGGTGGGAAGAATGTTCTGGAATCGGGCGGTGCAATGGTTACACAACTAACTTTGAATATATGAAAAACGCCTGACCCGTACGATTCAAAAGGATGAATTATTTCAGCCAAGTTATTAAAGCAAACTTGTGGGTCGTCCTTCTCCAGGCTCCAGGCTAAGCCCAGAAGGATCCTTTGCAAGAAGCTTCGTCCCCAGACACCAAAGCCTGTGCCTGGAATGTGGTGTGTTCACTCTCAGAGCAGGGAGGAAGGCAGACTTATCTGTTCCTCTGGCACACATTCCAGAGGCCTGACTCGGCCTCCAGTTTTATGATTCCTGGGTCCACAGGTCCAATCCCCGAGCAGCCCGAGTGGTGGGCCCCAAGTAAAACACTGGGGCCCACCACTTACCTTACAGACTGAGCAGCTTTCCAGAAGGCTGTGCAGGCCCGGGAGCCTGGGCTCAGTGGCCAGCAGACTCTGGGAACATCCCAAACCTGCCTTTCTGGGAGAAGGGAACTCTAGGAGCATCTGTTGAAAGCCTACTAAGTGCTGGGCCGAACAGGAGGTTCCCATTTGGCCTCAACGGTTCTGGAGGGAGCACTGTCACTGCCATCTTGCTCGAGAAAAGAGATGTGCATTGAGACTAAATGCCCTGTCCTCATCAGCAAAGGGTAGAAGTTCCCTTTTCCTGAGGCACCAAGCACTCACCCGGCACTCCACAGGACTCTGGGCTTTAGCTGTCTCATCAGCAGAGGGACACACATCTACCCCACCTCCCACGTGGCCTGGTAGCTATTAACAGAAGCACCTGGCTTTTAATGAGTGCCAGGCCTCATTCCTCATGGGCTGTGGCTGCCGCTGGCCAGGCCAGGGGAGATGGGCTAGACAGTCTTTCTTCCACCAAGGTCACCACTGCGGCTTCACCCAGTTAGAGCCCTCTGCTCTCTGGATGTGGGTGTTACCCCCTCAGCCCACAAAGGTGCTCTCTCCTCCTCCTCCCAGAGCCCACCGCTCCCCCTGAGCTTTTCAGGGATGGCCTGTTCCCTTCCCCTGCTGCTGTGGTCTGGGGACTTCTCTTATCTCTAGGATAAAATTCCTGAGGGCAAAAGTTGCAGAAGCAGTGCTAGGGCTGGAGGGGAATCCCTGTGACAGCTGGCCAGGCTGGTGTGGATTCCTGTGCCCTGGGCAGGTTCCTCCTTCTGAGGGCCTGCTCCCAGGGTGGGGTGGGAAGGCTAGTCCAAGGCCACCAGGCAGTTTTCTCTGCCAGCAGCCAGGTGTCCCTTGCTCTGGTGCTGCTCCGCCACGAGGACTGGGAGCTGCAGGGCTGGCTTCTCCCTCCCAAGGACGGGCGGCAACAAAACCACAAAGCACTCATTTTCAAATCACATATGGCTTCTCTGACCCCATCAAGTAACTTTATTCACACAAACGTCCCTTAATTTACAAAGCCTCAGTCATTCATACACATTAGGGGGAATCCACAGTGTTCAAGGAACTTAAATATAATGTATCATACCAACCCAAGTAAACCAAGTACAAAAAATATTCATATAAAGTTGTTCACACGAAGGTCCTAGATTACCAGCTTCTGTGCAAAAAAAGAAAATAAAGAAAAATAGATTTATTAACTAGTATTTGAAGCTAACTCTGTGCCTGGGTTACTCTGTGCCTCCCTTACACCCAAGTCAGCCCCACGGTGAGTGCTGAATCCTTGCAACATACTCCCCAGCTCTGATGGGAGAGGCCCTCTTGGGCACAAAAGATTTCTTTAAAGTGTTCCTGAACAAACTCCCTTCCACTTGTGGCCTCTCTTGGAAAAAGATGTGGGGACCTCCGGGTGACCGATGGCAGTGGGTTCACCTCTTGATGGTGGCCACTGGAAGCTGACATTTGCCAACCCTCGTGTCCCACCTCCTAGCTCCCCCTCTGAGGAGCATCTCCCTGGACAGGAATCCCCATCCTCCGAGCCTGGCAGGCAGGATCAGGGCCAGCCTGGTGTCCCAAAGGCTGTGCCTCAGCCCAGTGTGGGAGGACGGCCTCAGCTTGTCTATTGTCAGGGGGTCCTCCAGTCGCACCATGCCTGTCTGGGGGCCAACACAGGCTAAAGAAGGGGAAAGGAAGTGGGGGGAAGCAACAGCCCAAGAGCCACCAGTGCCCCCAGATGTGTGTGTATGGTGGGGCAGGGGTGCAAGGAGGATCAAAGGTGAGAGGCGCTCTTGTTGGGTAGGGCCAGGGGCCAAGGCAGCATGGAGCAAGGTGAGGGCACAGAGTTTGGGGTTCCCTTCATAGGGGGTGGATGCCCAACTTCTGCTGTTCCGAGTTTCCAAAAGATACTCTGAGGCTGAAACCCAGGCATCCATCAAGATCTGTCTTCTAAAAAGGTAAGCTGCAACACAGAAACATAGAACATAGAATGTTCCTACAGTGCCAGCTTTTTAACCTTTTCTTAGAAAAAATGACTCAAGCAAAAATAATGTTATTGCTCCAAACACTGGTTTTCTAGGAGACAGCTGATATGTCAAGGTGCAGAGAACCTTGGAGGAAGGGAATGGTTGAGGCAGGGAATGTCCGGGGGGCGAGAAGGCTGCGAGGAAGGTGGTGAGTGGTCTTAGCACCGCGGGGTCGGGAGCATAGGGAGTGCTGGGCGCGCGCCCCTCCCGTCTCCACCTTCATTCGCTCTGGGACTACCACTGGCAGTGCTGGACAGGAGGCCAGGCCAGGAGTCAGCTCTCCGCCAGTGTTGGGCACATTTCTCCTCCAGCTGTAAACAGGGTATTTCTTAAGTAAACAATGAATAGCTCCCTCCTAAAGGCAGCCGACAGGGGGCCAAACCACAGCAAGGTGGGAGGCCAGAATTCTCACTCTCCTGTCCCAATGCCTCTGGGATGAGTGGAGGGGCTAAGGCCTGAAGCCTTAGTCCCCGGTGCCCAGAAAGGGGTCAGCCGGAGCCAGGCTTGAATGCACAGACTGCGGCATCCTCCTGGCTAGAGGTAAGAGGCAGGGGACCTGCTGGGTCGTGAGAGGCAGAGAGAGAACAGCTGGTGGAAGCATGGTTTTTCTGTCCTCAGCTAAAGCTGCTGCTAGTACCCTGGTGGTGGCGGGGAGCCCTGTGACCGGCTGCAGCCTCGGGAGGACTGGGCAAGGACTGGGGGCCGGGGAGGGGACCCTTTCCTCGTGGCTCTCTGTGGGTGGGAGTGAAGTTTAAGTGCCAGGAGGACAGGTAGGGAGGACACTGCCGACCTCCAGCTGAGCCAGCAGGTCTGGTCAAGGGAGGGCATGGGATAAGGCACTATGATCTGTCTTGCTGAGTCCTCTTGCCGGTGGGGAAACTGAGCTTAAGACCCACCGGGTCTCAGGCCCAGAACCTCCCCACTATGGGCTAACTGGTTCACAGATCCAAGGAGAAAAGAATGACCACTATTTTAAGGTTCGGAAACTCCTAGAACTTGGACAGGCCTTATGGATGTGGTGATGCTGAGGTGAGGTGGCAGATGCAGGTGGAGGGAATGAAGGGCAGGAAGAGGCAGGAGGCTGGGCCACAGCGGGACTGCTGGGGGTGGGGTGGCTGAGAAGTGGATGGGAACTAACTGGGTCTAATCACGGCTAGTCCACTGGCTGTGGGCAGAGCCGGTGTTTACTTTGGGCTGCCGTCCACCTGACCACCTCGGCACCTAAGCTGGGCAAAGCAGGGAGCAGGGATGTGGTGGGTGGGGGCGGACAGGAGGGAGACAGGCACTCGGGGCTAACGAGTTGGCCGTGGTGAGCCAGGGAGGGAGGCCCTGCCACCAAGCAAGGGTAGGCTGAGTCCTGCAAGACCAGGGTGTGTAGAAGCCTGCCACCCCTCCCAGGCTGCCTGTCTTGCCCTGAAGGCAGAGAGACATCCTGTGACCTACACAGGTTACTCTGATGCCAAGAGAAATAACAGAGGGGGACTACCCCAGCTCTGAGACCTGATCCAGTTGGAGGATAGAGCCCTGGGAGGGCAGAGGAAAAGTCAAAGGAAAGGGAATACCTTGTTAGGCTTGAGCCTTCACCTGGGACCTGCAGACAGGGCTGCAGCCAGGGAGGGCGGGGGGTGGGGGTGGTGGGGGGGGGTGGGAGTGGGGTGGGAGGGGTGTGGGGGGGCACAAGCAGAGAAGGGGAGTGAGCTGCAGGCAGGGAAGCTGTGCTCCCTACCCTCCCAGGGGCAGTTCAGGGCGCACTCCTGGAGGCCCCAGAAGCCAGAAGGGAGCCAGGGTGCAGGCGGGCACAAAGGATTTCACAAGGAAGGGAAAGGCATGGCTCCCACCCGCTGCCCTAACTGTGGCCAACCGGCTGCCTTGGTACTTAAGGGGCTTGAGAAAGGGTGAGAGGATGCCAGCAAACACGTGGTGAGTTTGCAAGTTTGGGCTGGTGTTGCCTTAGTCTGTCCCAAATGCCCAGGGCCAAAGGACTGCCGCTTTGGGGGAAAAGCCCTCCTCCTTGGTCACACACCAACCCAAACAATCTCTGACTGCCTCCCCTATCAATCCTATGCTGGTTTAGATAAAACAAAAAATGAACATAAAAGAATTCCTTTCCCCTTCCCCCTGAGACCCTGTCTTGCTTGACTGTAAAGGGGGGAAAGCCTTTGGAGATGCCCCAGTAGCTTGTGGGTGAAAGGGACAACATAGGCCCAGCCACCTGCCCCTTTGAGGAACAAACACTCTGGTTCAGAAGCCCGAGAGGAGGGAGCAGTGTGAGAGCCGCAGAGGGCCAGATGGCCACACAGACGCTGGTGCTGAGGTCAATAGGGCCACGCTGGGGAAGCTCTAAGGTGGTGGCAGGCCACAAATGGACACCTGACGGCTGCGGGGGGTGGAGGGTGGGGGTAGTGGTGTTCCTAACTCATCCCCTCCCAGCTCTTGGCGGGTCTATTCTTTTCCCACCAGACACGTTTATGCTGAGGGAAGGCATCTAACAGTGAGTCCCTGGGGGTGAGGGAGATGGCGCTTGACACTGTGCCGGCTCTGACTCCACGGGCCCACGTGCAGGGGACACACCCTTCACTGCAAGGAGATGACAGTGGCAGCCAGTTCAGGACACCCTGTTCTTATGGCCAGGTCACAACCAGATCTCTGGGACTTAGGTGGTCTCTGTGACAACCAGGATGTTTGGTGGGCACACATGGGAAGGAGATGATCCAGGAGGCAGGAGGTGATGGGTGCTGTCCTCACAGGAGTGACAGATGCCCACCGAAGACCCAGCCAGGTTCCAGGCAGAGGTTTGGCACGACAGTTTTTTCCTGGGGGTCTTCCTCTGGGAGGGAAACCACTAACAGAAAGGTAGGCTCGTAGAGCTAGGCTGGGCTGGCACTTGACCACAGGGGAGTGGGGAGTAGTCACCTCTGTAGGTCCCCCCATTGCCTTTCCCTCCCCTCCCCACCCAGTACTCCTGGTTATAAAGGGCAGAAGAGGGAATGGACTCCCACTACTGCGAGTCCTGGTGTGGCCCAGGTCTTCCAGCAGCTGAAGGAGAACAAACCCACAGTTTAGACTTTCTTTTCTGCGTCCTCCTGGCCAAACCCAGTCTTCTTCCTCTTTCAGGTGGTTCTTCGCCTCCGACCATTTGTAAGGCCCGAGGGCTGGCCAGGAGCAGCCCCCGGGGGGTCCGGCTGCCTCCTGTCTTCAAGTCTCACTCATGTTCTGGGACCCAGCCTGGTTCTCCACAGAAAGGCAGGCCTCCTCTGGGGAAGTGAGGTGTTCTAAGCAGAACCAAGGGGTGGGTGAAACAAAGGAGATAGAGGGAAAATAAAGGAACAAAACAACATAGCTCCCTAACCCCTTATAAAAATTAACAATGAAATTTATACATATGCTTTGTCCATGTTGTTTCTCCGTAGCATAGTTTCCTGCTCTTCTGAAGTCTTAATCGTTTAAATTAAAAAAGGAGAAAAAAAAAGACAAAAAATAAAATAAGATTTTAAAAAATTAAGCAAAACTAAAAGGAGTGGGAGGGAAACCCAAACAAAAGCTTCACATTGCCGGAGATCCAGCTGTCGGGAGATCACCAACTGACCAAGCCACTGCCTGCACCCTCTGCCGTCCTCTGTGTGAGACACGATGAGACTGTGGGTCCCGAGGATCAACCTGGAAGACAGAAGACAGAAGGCAGGGGATAAATGGACACTAGGCTGGTGGGCTCGGGGTACCTCCAAGCTCCAGATGCCAGACTAGAGGCCAGCACCCATCCTAGAGACGGCAGGAGCTGTGATGGGCTGGGGAGGTTTCTAAATACCTTAAAGGGAGTGACTCTAGATTCCCTACAACCGTCCTGCCATTGACACACATTATTCTCCCAGGGAAACTGAGGCACGGGTTAAGTCACATGATTAAACATCACACTGACAGAGAAGCAGACCCTGGCTGGGAACCCAGGCCTGCTGGCTGTGGCTACAAAATCCTATCACTAACCCCATCCCTGCACTACTAGGAAAAGATGCCATGGGACCCTAGCCATCAGTCTTCCCAGGCTTCGGCCCCCTTCCCTCCTCACCCTAATTGTGCTGTACTGAAGCTTCATGCGCATGCTTGAGTTTATCCTATTTCACAGACAAGTGAGGCTCAGCCCCCTAAGAACCTGTCTGAGTTAACCAAAGCTCTTAGGTGTCAAAAGGGGCCAGAATCCCACAGCCAGGGGCAGGGGTGATTCGGGAGTTGGGTTAAGAATGAGGTTCTGGGGGCTCTGGGTGGCTCAGTTGGTTAAGTGCCTGCCTTCAGCTCAGGTCATTGATCTCAGGGTCCTGGGATCGAGCCCCACACGTTGGGCTCCTTGCTTTTGCTCAGCAGGAAGCCTGCTTCTCCCTCTGCTTGCTCACCATCCCTGCCCTTCTGCTCTGTCAAATAAATAAATAATAAAATCCTTAAAAAAGAAAAAAAAAAAAAAAAAAAAGAACGAGGTCCTAGAGCCAGAACCTGTGGTCATTAACAGGTTCTGCCACTTGACTGTGGCAAATTTAAGCCCTTTGCTCCTTGGTCTTGTTTCCTGTACCGAATCACAGGTTATTATGAGGGCCAAATGAATACACAGAACTTGACGCAGTGCCTGGTCCTATTATGATTAGCTATTCTTTGGGAATTGCTGGGTGCCAGCCTCATGAACAAGACCAGCTACCAGCCTTTCAGGGACCTGTCTTAGTGCAGGCCTAGAACACAAGAGCCTACGGAGATCAGCCTCGAGCCAGCGACTGCCACCAGCCCACTGTCGCAGCCCGAGCTGCTCAATCAGGGCTATGTAGAACCCCATCCTAGGCAGGCACCCAGGGCAACAATGCTTCATCTACACGGCACATGGACTCACCTTGGGCTTTCAGAGTCCCTGCTCTCACCCTGAACAATGGAATCAGAGCAGTCTTCCATGGCATGCTGGAAATCCCTCCAAATCCCCCTCTGCTCTGGCTTCATTTTTTTTTTTGGGGGGGGGGCTATTTATTTATTCGTGAGATAGAAGGAGAGAGGCAGAGACACAGGCAGAGGAGGGAGTCCGATGCAGGACTCAATCCCAGGACCCCGGGATCACAACCTGAGCCAAAGGCAGACGCTCAGGGTCCTGAACCATCCAGGTGTCCCCTGGCTTCACTCTTATGTAAGCTCCACGCAGCCCGAAAAGGTGTGCCCTCCCAACCCTGCATCCTCCTCACCATCACTTGGCACCTGTGCAGTCTGACCACATGGGCCTGTTGTCCTCAGCTCTCAGGGAGACACTCGGCTAGTCCTCATGGGAGGCAGTGGGGTCCGGCAATGCTGAGCCTCACTTGTCTGTGAATGTTTGCTTCCTACCGTCAACCTGTGCCTCTGTGAGAAATGGCTATTCTTTGAGGTCTGACTAGAGTAACAACTATCAAGTACCTGGTCCACAGCAGGAACTGACTCACTCCATGAGCCCATCCTGTCCTCGTCCCCAACTGGAAATGATGGATGTGTTAGGTTTGGACAGGATGTAGTCTGCAGTCACTGGACCACCCAAACTGCTCCTAGGTGGGTGAGGGTGGCATGGAAGGGATGCAAGGCCTGCCAGAGAAGTGTACCAGTGCCTTCTGGAAAGCCATCTGGCCAGGTATTTTCAGAGCCTCAAGTAATTTTCAACCTCTAGACCCTAAAATTCCACTTCCGGAGACCCAGCTTGACTGGTCACCTTACATGTGAAAAGGACTTCACAAATAAAGACGTTCATTGAAGGGTGATCTAAAGTACGAGGCAACAACCCACAAATCCAAAAAGAAAAGACTGAAGCAAACAATCTATCCACTCAGTGATGTATTAATTACAGAGGAAATGAGAAGGCAGGTGGCATTCTGACATTACGGCAGAAGCACTTCCCCGGCTTAAGGGGAAGGAACAAGCAGGCTACGCCTTCCTGCGGCGTACAGTATGGGCAGAACTATGTAATAAACAGAAAACCTCCATGTGTAGGAGTATCTGTCAAGAAATGCATCAAAATGTTGTACTTGTCACACGTGTATTTTCTCCTTCCCCTGGTGAATATTGAGTACACATCACATTGCCATGCTTTACTTTGCAATGGCAAAAACAGAGCACTCCAAGGGATGAGAAGAGCTGGCAGCCCCAAAGAAAGGTCCCTGGAATAGCAAGCCAAGAGCCTAGACCCAGGCTCTCTTCTGGGCTCTTCCACACACAGTGGGCAGTGGAGAATTTTCTGTAGCTGTCAGGTAAGGTCAGATTGTACAATTTCTTCCTCCAGCGCAAGGCAAGGAGTAAAGTGGGGATGAATTATAAAGGTGCCGGAAAAGTATTTCATCTGGAAGAAAACAGTGGTTTTCTCAGCCTCAACCTCTGCCTCTGCTGCTTGTTTCCCTGTCTGTTAAGTCTCCTCAATCAACAACAACAACAAAATCCATTGGTGGGTCTTGTATCCCAGTTTCTGACTTGGCAAAATAAAATTACTGGAAGCACATCCCGGGCTGACCTAGAAGCTATCTCGAGCTCTGGCTTATTCAGCATGCCTAGGCCTTCTTATGCTTTCAGGACAAAGCAGAGCAACCAGGAGCCGGGGGGAGGCTCGAGGGGAACCTCACCATCCAAGTCCTTGTGAAATACAACAAGAAAAGCCCAGAAAACTGTATGCTAATGTGTTATCTGCTAAGATAATCTCTTGGACCAGTTATGACATTTTCAGCACTGCTTTCCTCCATCCCTTGCAGGACCCAAGCTAAGGACAACCTACTCAAAAGGATGCCCATCAGCAGGAAGGTGGCCCATAGCAGCAGAAAAGCGGTGGTCAGGGAGGCAGAGAGATTCAGAGGCCAGAAGTCTCCTTTTACATAATAAACCAGCAGAACAGAGTGTGCCCACAGAAGGTCAAACCAACAGCATAGCTCTCTGCAAGAACTCCTGAGACACCAGCGTGTAATGACCGCTGTAATCACTGGGTCCCTTGCCAGGAAGCCAGGCTGACATTTCCCACAGGCTCCTCCACCCTCCCGACCTTGGCACTGGGTCCCATCCTCCTGTAGGATGCCTCAGGACAGCCTACAGGTCTGGGTCTGCTTCTCTCCCGGGGACAGGGCCAAGAAAGAGGACTCTCTCTCTCTCAGGGAGAGGGCCGTGCCTTCGGGGTTGGTCCTTTTATAGAAGGCCCACCTGCCACCTGCCTCAGGGAGCCAGTGATGGCAGCTGCATCACCAGGGAGAGAGGCTCTACAGCCATGAGAAGGGCTCAGACTGCATGGTCCTGGGTTATAGCAGCAGCCCCTCCCAGGCACATGCTGGGGCAGTAGATGGTTTCAGGGCCCAGCCCGGGGAAGGGAGGGCTGGGGGGCTGGAGGAGCTTCCGACTTCACCCGAGCAGATGTCACCCCTCGGCTCCCTGACTCCCAGTGACCAGCTCCGACCTGGGCCTGCCTTGTGTGATTAACCTCTGCATGATGTCAGCAGCACACCCCCTCTTTCGCCTTTCTGATCATCTCATTTTGTGAGGATGACTGCCCCATTTTAACAAGGGGATGGGCCCAGAGGGATGGAGCAGCTGGGCCCATGCACAGAGCTGCCGAGCCACAGAACCAGCGATTCGTCCCCGCAGGTCCAGCGCCACTCACCGCCCCGGCTTCCCGCTCGGACTCTGCCTGTGGTCCCTGCAGCTCCCTCAACACTTCTGACCTTATTTCTCTGTAATTATGGTCACAGCAATTGCTCACCCAGCATCGAACATTCCAAGGGCTTTGTAGGGAACAACCCTATTAGGGCAACTTTCAGCTCTTCCATGCTGCTTCCCACTAACCATGTTCCCATACGGAGCCTCCGTGTTACGGCTACTGCCCCATCTCCCCTCCACAACCCTTTGAGGTAGGCGCTCCGGTTGCCCAGTTGCACCGACGCCCAGAGAGAAGGAAGGGCTGCACAGCTAATGGGTGGGAGAGGACAGGGTCTGCCCACAGCTCCTACTTTTAGCATTAACTGTCCTGGGAAATCCCTTCCTGGAGAGACAAGAGCTTAAGTGGAGTTTAAAACCCACTTAATCCCTTCATTTATAAACACATTCACTCAGAAAAGGGTTCATGGAGGGCTTGGCTTAGGTATTTCTGCACAAGTCTGGTGTTTAGAGCACATTGGAGGATGTGGAGCCACCAGGCTATGAGCAGACTTCTAGCAAGTTCCTCTGCCAGCTAAGCAGTTGTTTGGGCTCCCATTAACGCCACCAGCAGTTTGGAGAACAAGAAGTGGGGAGAGGACGGGATGCATGGGTTCCCCCGCCCACCACCTCCCCTACCCCTCGGCCCACAGACATGATCATCTAGGGAAAGAGAAGGCTATCCTGTACTCTAGAAGTGTGGTCCTCCTACTTTGTTGATGTCAAAATGTCATTTTTAGATGAAACTAAATGGCGGTGGTTCCCTGTCTGTACCATCCTTCCAAATGTTTAAGTCTGGCAGCGGCAGGGTATGAGAATCTCTAGGAGCCTAGAGATTCAGCTACGTTTCAGTTGAGCGTCTTTCCTCAAGTGCTCTCTCGGGGGAAACAGTACAAGCTGTGGTGACGGTCCTGGGTTCAAATCTGATCTCCGCCACTTACCAACCATTTATATCATCTGAGTCTCCTTTTCCACCTAGCAAGTGGGGATGCTGCTCTTTACCC